AATTTGACATGTACCTCTTTTCTCTTTATTATGTTTTTAGTTTCAGTAGTCTTATTCAATGAAAGTCTAAAACAGGGCTGTCAAACTCCTGGTCTGCGGGCTGGATGTGTCCATGCTCTGGCCACACCCACAGCTGGTTTAGCAAAGGGGGGAAAGTCCCCCGATATATCACATGACACTGCTGTGACAATGTGCGTTTGACAGCCCTGGTCTTAAAGGAAGGGACAAATTCAAGGAAAGCTTGGGTCTAAGTAAGATTTTGGAATTATGTGATGTAAATTTATCAAAGTATATTAAGTACATACTTTGAGGCATGCAATACATATCAAAATCTTTGGCATACCAACTGATTGACTACAGTGACTGAACCCTTGACTCCTTTGGAATGAAGACAGATTTTAGAAACCAACCTGATATGTTCTTTGGTTGATAGAACAAAACTGATTACACAGACTCAGCTCAGAACTGTACTTGAGAAAGAACAGACCACAAGACTGCATTTAGTAGCCCAGTTCTCTATTATTACCATAATTGTGTGATAAACACCATTCTTCTGGATGGCTAAACAATAATTGTATGACCTATCTCATTAGCTAATCTAAAATCTAAAGTATCTGAAGGATCCCTTAGATAAATATTTCCAAGGTTTGCATGCCCTCCAATGATTTCTCAGAGGCAAAGTCCATCAAACTGCCTGTGACCCAAACAAGTACTAGGAATGGATGGATTTTTAAAGAGCAGATATGAGGCCAGGTATGGGCTAAGTAATATGCTTGGGTTATCAAATCAGGCATGATGGTGAGTAAGCAGTAGATGCTCAAAGTGTTAGGCATTCCAATCTTGGATTGGAAGGGATTTTGCTAGATGACTTCAGACTGATTTTGAGTGTTAAGCAGAACATAAGGTACGTCTTTAAAGATAGATGCTATTATTATTGATATGAGTTCAGGAACAAACATCCAGAAGAAATGTAAGATTCTTTCTTTTATTTTTAAATGTAATTAAATTATGCAGGTTCATGGGTGACCGTCCAACCCTTGTTATCTATGGGGGAATGAACAAGTCTACCATATCTGGGCTGCAGATTTAAAAAAAATCCAAGCAAAGAAATGCAGAAGACTCTTTGTTGCCATCTGATTGGACATTTGGATTTTTACAGCCCAGGTGTGGTAGCCTAAGAGGAGAGCACAAATGGGAAAATTGGGCAGCGAGGATTTTTAGGAGCAGGGGTGGTGGGATACTAATCTCCACTAATCTCTCCTGCTGCCTTAAGTGCCATGACCCCATTGCCTTGAATGGATGGGACTAGTAATGGGATCCCCCTCCAATAAAAACCAGTGATTTCAGATGAGCATTTGCATGACCAAGAGATACTTCCACAAAGAAAACTATCAAAAATGGATTGTAACACCTTGTCACTTAGAAAAGAATTGCTGCATTAAGGTAGACCTTAATGTTAATTTCAGACCTATTCTCACAACATAAATATGCATTTTTACTGTGCAGGCTTGCTAATCAAGAGATGTCCCCATTTTGATTCTTGCAGTGAGTGAAGAAAACAAACACGATGAGGGAAAACAAATGCTTATTTTGTTAGTACTTTAACTGCCAAATGAATTCAAGGACAAAATTTTGTGAAGCTGAAGACTCACTAAAGGTGTTTGCTTCTTCTCAGATGCCATTTTTTTTTCTTACCCTTCTATCCCAGTTCCTGAATAGATATTAAGCAGTTAATTAAATTAGTGTGGCATTCTTGGAAGAGTTTGTCGTTTGACGTCACATACATTTCTAGCACACAGTTCTTCATGGAGGGTTTTCATAAGAAAATGACTACAGCATTTGTCCTCACAAGCCCTGTCAGCCACTCTCACTAGGCCTGATCCTCCTTGATCCAGCAGGCAGCAGTAGGTTAATGTCAATTATATCTATCCTGTTGTCCACCCAGTTTGAAACAAAAACAAGAGTCTTTTGTTCACATTGCAGCTGTCATTGTTCCTGAGTTTAAAAACAGAAAAAAGTGTCCCTGTATTAAGAAAGCCATTTTTTTTCCTCCAAATGGATATTATCATAATGGTCCTCTTAGAACTCTAAATACTTTGTCCCCTCAATTATTGAAGACTTTCATGGGAAGGTGATGTTTTATGTTTAAAATAATTCCCCTGCACAGCAGGGATTGATAGTCTGTAGTCACTTTGGTTCCTTGCCTGACGTACTTTTACTCAATCTGCTGAATGCGGCTTCTTGCTGATTTTTTTTAAAAAAAATAAACGTAGTGATGTATGCTGCTGGGATATTCTCTTCCTCCTCACAGAATTTCCTTAAGTGCAGCTGATATTGTAGCTTTAGACAGGAACTGTCAAGTAACAAATCTTGAATAATGGCTTTAAACTGCATGGTGGGAGTGGTCTTGATTGCAGGGAGTTGCTTTGTTTTAAAGTAGTTGTAAACAGTGTTTTTTTGTGTGTGGGTGGGTTTGGAAGCATCTGCCCTCTCAGGACTTTTCTGTGGTTGGTGATCAGTCTGGAAAATGACAAAAAAATGTATAGTTGAATGAGTCTGCAGTAGTGCAATTTGATTATCCATCTACTGCAAGTTCCATGATTACCTTATATTAGATTAAAATAAGTTCTCATTTATTCTTTAAAAACTGATTATTGCATTATCCAACCTTTGCTCTTGAGAGCTCATGGAGTTGCTATCAAATTTATTCCTCCTATTATAAATATTAGCATGAGGTTGCAGAGCTACAAAAGTCACTCACTGAGCTCTGTGGTTCTCAAACTGCACAAGTTGCTATCTAAATCATTATATTACCATGGAACCAAAATTATAATATGTCAATATTTTGACATTTTGTAACCTACATAGATAACAGAATAACAGAGTTGGAAGAGTTCTTGGTCCAAACTCCTCAAGCAGGAGACCCTATACCATTTCAGACAAATGGCTATCCAATCTCTTAAAAACCTCCAGTGAAGGAGCATCCGCAACTTCTGAAGGCAAGCCATTCCACTGATTAATTGTAATCACTGTCAGGAAATTTCTCCCTATTTCTAGGTTGGTTCTGTTCTTGATTAGTTTCTATCAATTGCTTCTTGTTCTGCCTTCAGGTGCTTTGGAAAATAGGCTGACCCCCACTTCTTTGTGGCTGTCCCTTACATACACTGCTATCATATCACCCCTAGTCCTTTTCTGTAAATTAGACATACCAAATCCCTGCAACCTAACAGATAATCAGAGTTGGAAGGGACCTTGTAGGTCAACTAGTCCAACTCCCTGCCCAAGCAGGAGACCCTACACAATTTCTGACAAATGGCAGTCCAATCTCTTCTTGAAAGTCTCAAGTGATGGCGCTCCCACAACTTCTGAGGGCAAGCTGTTCCACTGGTTGTTTGTTCTCACAGTCAGAAATTTTCTCGTTTCCAGGTTAAATCTCTCCTTGTTCAGTTTCCATCCATTATTCTTTGTTTGGCCTACAGGTGCTTTAGAAAATAGCTTGACCGCTTCCTCTCTGTGGTAGCCACTCAAATATTGGAAGACCGCTATCATGTATCCCCTGGTCCTTCTCTTTACTAAACTAGCCAAACTCAGTTCCTGCAACCATTCGTTGTATGTTTTAGCCTCCAATCCCCTAATCATCCTGGTTGCTCTTCTCTGTACTTTTTCTAGAGTCTCAACATCTTTTTTATAATGTGGTGAACAAAACTGGATGCAGTACTCTAGGTGTGGTCTTACTAAGGTTTTATAGAGTGGTATTAGTACTTCTGTTCTTCATGTTTTCTCTTCCAGCCCACAACTCATTTCTGTTGCTCTTCTGTGCACTCTTTCTAGAGTCTCAACATCTGTTTTATATTGGGGTGACCAAAACTGGATGCAATATCCCAAGTGTGGTCTTACCAAGGCACAGGCTGATCAGTTTAGATTAAATGAGAGATGTTGGATCTGCTAATAGAACCATATATGGTTCAACATTTTTCTGCCACAGTGGCTATCCAGACCCACTGGAATACACATATTGGAAATAAGTTCATCAGCCTCCTTTCATTTTTGATTTCTAGCAATGGTATGTGGACATTGATTTGAGTGATATTAACATTGGATTATTTTAATCGATGCTTTACTTGCCCATTGTGATTCCATGAGAGTTAATACTGTATCATATAATATTTAAGCTTATGTTGGTATATTTGTGACCTGTTCTTTATCACCTTGGATTTTTTTTGCCAATATTTCTATAGGAACAATAATAACAGGAGGAGAATGTAGATGTCTTGTGCCTTTACTTATTTGAAAGAGTGAAAAGTTCTCCATTGGCTGAAATTGTTGCTGTGTGCTGTCTATAGATATACTTTTGACCCAAGATCTGAACTCTTCTCTGGGGTTTATTTTGTTCAATATATTTAACTTTTTATCATGTTGGAACATTCATGCTTTTATTCTATAACAATATGAATTATTCAATATAATGATGTACTTAAAAACCATATTATGACAATAAACCACTTACTACAAATTATAGTTTTGTTTTTGAAAATCTAACTTACAAATAACTGCTATGAGGAATAAAAATAATATATGTATAATGTACATACCAACACCAGATACACACACACACACACACATTCAAACAGACAGACATTTCACTGAGAAAGAAAACATTCCATTATGTATTACATCTAAAATAAATGATGCTTTAGATTTTTAGGTATATATTTAAAAGTCTTTTATGTATAAGCACATACCTGAATTTTACTTAATAGGTAAAATTCTTGTGTGCTTTGATAGCTTGGGCAGAACTTTTGTTCTTTACGTAATATGTAAAAATAGACCTTTATGAAATATTTGACAGTTGCTCAATTTATCGTTACATTGTCATCTCTGATATGAGTTCAAATATTCATATAATAACTATGGTACTTTGGAACTGAATTGGAAAAGAGCATTTTGGTATCAAAAAAGAAAGAAAGAATTAGCCTTACCTTTCAAGAGGCACATTGACATCAAGGCCAAAGAATAAAGGCAAGAGAGAAGAACAAGAAAAGAAATAGAAACTGCAAGAAAAAAAATAGTTTTAAGAGATCAGATCAATTTTTATTATCATAGATAAGCAGGCATATGATTTGTAATGAATAAAACCCAATAGACTTAGTCCAAGAAATCTTACAGGACTAAAATTTAAGGCTTTTATCCTACCAACTCACCTCCTTAGTGTCAATCTAATATTAATGGCTTCAGTTTTGGTGATATCATCTGATTCACAAGTGGGTGTTTTCTCCATAGAGGAATGACAAATCAATTCATTGGAAGGACACAACCCACAAGGTATCCTTATTCTTAAATTTCTATTTCCTAAACTTCATTGAAACTCCCTTTTTGATTACATAATTAATTTAGGGTGAATTATTTGCATTTTTGCAGCCAAACTTGTTTAACAAGAACACCTAGCAAAATGATAGCATCATGAGAAAGCTTTTGTGTAACGAATGTCAGTTTTTCATGTTTAATTGCTATGGACAAGTATTTAGACTTCTCCTTGAAACAATATCCATCATGATATAAATGAACTATTTTTTTTTGTGTTTCAAACTAAGATAAAATATTAGTTAGCTAAAATCCTCTGCATTTATTGACTGATTTTAACTTAGTAAGAGAGAAAACAGTCTGTTAATTAAAAGGGCAGATTGAAAAAAGATTATAGTACCACTACAGTATAATAATAACTATTTTAAGATGATTATTCTTACCATGTTCAAATTGATAAAATGGTAGAATAATGGGTAAAATCTGATTTCTGTTATTTTCTTATTGTATCATTCTAAAGGGAATCTGAATGAGGAGAGAGATTAGATAGCAATTCTTGTATCATTAGAAGAAAAATGACACCTAACAGTCACATTGAAAACCCTTTCTGGTTAGTGGGGCACATAATTTGCCCTGGTTGTGTTCTTCCAAACATCATCAAAAGATCTCCATGATATCTCTGAAAATGGTGGTGGAATATTTGTGAAGGGAAAGTTTTGTCTTGTTCTAATAGGATGAAATCCATCCATCCATCCATAAAAGTACCTACAAAACCCTCCTGGATTAGAATACCTAAGAAGAAAATAAAAACCACTGGAATTTATTCATAGTACCAGATCCCTTCCAGTTTTTTCAAACTCTTATAATCCACAACTAGAAAGATATGAATGGAACTTACTGGAACTGAATAGTGAAAGTCTGATTCAAGGGCTAGGAAATGGCTATGGTAAAATAGCTAATTGGAGTTCCTAGAATTATAAAATAGGAAATTTTTAAAAGTATTATTTTTGGATATGTAAAGCAACCAACCTTTTCTTCCAAATCCTTTATCTGCCTCTTCTGGATGTCTGTTTTATCTTCTAAATCTCGGATCCTCTAGAAACAAATTGAATATATCCATAAATAATCAAATCAATAAAAATTATGTCTTATGAAGTCTGGTCAAAGAAAATTAATTTAAAAATTCTAAACTAAAATTTATACATATGAAAAATAGGTATCACTCTAATTGCATGGATTTTAGCCTTTTCCATTATGAAACAAACTTGGTTTCATAATGAAGTGAAAGGATTACACTTTAACATGGAGGGAATGTGGCCTGATAAAAACTAACAATTTTAATTTGATTAAAATTTTAAAATTTATATTTACATGTTGATTGCTCTCTAATACGATCAGCCATCTTTAATAATTATTTAATAATTTCTCCCACATTTTTATCTCAACAATAAATATAATGAAACCCATAAACTGAACCTCTCTAATGTTTTTCTATACACTGAACCTCACCTGATGCGCCTGTTGAAGCAATTCCATTCTCTCTTGGAGGATCTGACAGTCATATTCTCTGCTTTTTCTCAGCATTTGCCTTCTCAATTTCTCTACAGCAGTTCGAAGTTCTTCCTGCTGCTTTTCACTCAGCAGTTCTCCAAACTTTATCACTGTTTCTTGTTGCAAAGCATTATAAAGGGTAGCCTCAAGCTCCTGGATTCTCTAAGCAACAGCATAACAAAATATTGAAAGGGGATACAATCCATTTGTCTCTGTATATATTTTAAACCAGTAAAACCAACTGGAATTAATAGACAATAACTATGCTATGTATTTATCTCAAATGAAGCATACCAGAGATGTTATTCAGCAGGTTCTGACCAGTTCTGGAGAACCGGTAGCAGAAATTTTGAGTAGTTCGGAGAACCGGCAAATACCACCTCTGACTGGCCCCACCCCCATCTATTCTCTGCCTCTTGAGCCCCAGCTGATTGGCTGGGTCTTCTTTTGTTGCCCTGCACAGGAGAACAGAGCTGGAAAGCAGGTTAGTGGGGTGGGGAGGGAATGGAGATTTTGCAGTATCCTTCCCCTGCCACATCTACCAAGCCATGCCCACCAAGCCATGCCACGCCCACCAAGCTACACTCACAGAACTGGTAGTAAAATTTTTTGAATCCCACCACTGAAGCATATTACATTCAACGTCTCAAATCTGATGATTACTAATAGTTCCATATGACATCTGAAGGTAATTTTTTTTTACTCCCATTACCTATCCTCCTTTCTTTTCAGGACATACCACAGGTTTTTCCATGCATTCCAATGGCAAATAAACCTCTGCATGAACAGTGCTCCACTCTTTTGAAATTAGCATGCATTGTACTATGCCTTTGGAGTAGAAATTCAGATATTCACTGGAGCTCTCACTTATGTAAGGAGAACAAAAAGTAGACTGATACATTATTTCCTAGAAAGTTATCCACCCCCTCTCTTTTTATGACACTGTAATGCCTTCTATTGAGGTAGGTCGGGGTGACTGGATAAAGCTGAGCGTTTATTGGTTGGATGCCCTCCCTGACACCTACACGGAGTTCACAGCATATATTTTCCCTTTGCGCCCTGACAGAGAAACATCTACTGCTGTTTTGGATTGAACTCTCGACCTCCCAAGTGTGAGGCAATTTTTTTCACCGTACGTCTCTCTCCCTCTCTAAAAATCACATTAATTTGGAGTTTATTTTAAACTCATGTGAGAACATACTGCAAGCCCAACCATTTACCACTGGAATGCAGTAAATTTGCATTCTGAAATGTACTTTTCTTTTCGTTTCTATCCTTGGTTTTCAAATTACCATATAGGCTTGATCAAGAGCTTGTTTCCTGTAGTCCAGTTCTTCTTCCAGATAACCTTTTATTTTACAGAACTGCTCCTACATTGAACGACAGTTTGGGGAAAAAAAATCACTACCTTTATTATTCTTGAAATAAGAAAATATATACAGATAGTCTTTGACTTATGACTGTAACTGAGCCCAATTTTCCATTGCTAAGCAAGGCAGTTATTAAGTGAGTTTTGTCCCATTTTATTACCATTTTTGCCACAATTGTTAACAGTGCTCCACTGTTTCACTGCAGATGTTAACTGAATCAAGTAGTCATTAAGTGAATCTGGCTTCCCACATTGACTCTGCTTTTGGAATCTGGCTGGGAAGGTTAGACATGGTGATCACATGATCTGGGGACAGTGCAACAGTCACAAATACATGCCAGTTGCCAAGGGCCTGAATTTTGATCACATGACCAATTGGGATTCTGCAATGCTGGTAAGTGTGAAAAACAGTCATAAATCAATTATTTCAGTGTCATTGTAACTCCAAATGGTCACTGAACAAATAGTCATAACTCGAGGACTACCTGTAATAATACTCAGGCAAAAACAAAGCAAACTCCAGAAGTCAACTAACAATAAGCATGGGATTAAAGTGAAAACTTCCCCCACCCCCAAAATATATTCTTTCCTACCATGTCACTTTCCAATTCCATCATCTTCTGGTGTAGAGCTGCTTCAGCCCCCTCAATCTGCTGTATCCACTAGCGGGGAAAAAGGCATTATTAAATTCCTGTTCTAGTTCCATTTTCAGGATTATAATATTGACAGAAATGCTGCCTTTCTACTTCATCAATTATAAACACAAAGAGTAGAATTTTGACTGAAGTTGCTTATAGCCACTTGCTATCAGTTATCAAGGAACAAGGAGTGAGAAATGAAACTCGGCTACATCCTCTGACCTGGAATGCACATATAGAGCTCTGGTGGCACAGTGGTTAGAACGCAGTACTGCAGGCTATTTCTGCTGACTGTTGGCTGCCTGCATTTCGGCAGTTGGAATGTCATCAGGCTCAAGGTTGACTGAGCCTTCCAACCTTCTGAGGTTGATAAAATGTGAACCCAGATTGTTGGCGGCAATATGCCAACTCTGTAAAACCGCTTAGAGAGGACTGTGACACTGTGAAGTAGTATAAAAGTTCACAGTCATATTATTGCTATCTCCAGATAATATGGTGGCTAGTTACAGTTGAGGAATGTCCTGTAAATGATCAGAGGCGTATGTTGCTACCTTTTAGGTCTCAGGCCCGAAAATATTTTCTAAGCAAATTCTTGGCAAGTCTTGGACTAACTGTATGCATTTATTCCTTCTTTTTGTCTTTCCAAAATATCTATTTTGTTGTGTGCTGCTGTACTACTGAATGCTGACTGGTTTTTATTATTATTAAAACATATGCAGACTTGGAACCATAGGCTTCAGAGACATCTGTCCTGTATTTAAAGTACAGATTGACCTAGTTAGTGTACATTACTACAGCATGCATTACATTACTACAGCTATGCTGTTTTTCATAATTTCTCTACTTAAAAGACAAACCAGCTAGTTGGCATACTTAAAGTGTATCATTAATTACTCTCTTATTATTCTATAATAAGGCTTCTCTAAAGAAGCAGTTCTTATATCTAGATATTTATCTGTATAATTGAATACTGATTTCACGAACACCGATTGCAACAAACAGACTAAAGCAAGCTGTGACTTCGACAATTGGAAAAAGTTAAATAAAGCAAATTAAAATGGTTGCCTTAGTAAAGGCTCAACTTGAACAATAAAAGCCAGTTACTCTTTCCTTTCCGGGAAATATGCATTTTGGATAATATGCATTTTGGAAAATATGCATTTTGGAAAATATGCAATCTGTATGTGTGGTGTAAACAAATAAGAATGAAATATTCTTATTTGTTTACACCACACATACAGATTGCATATTTTCCCACAGATTGCATTTTTCTCTTCATAATTCTGTGCCCTGAGTTAACTTTTTGATTCATATTAAATAACACACATGAGATACAAATACATTATAAAATACCTTTTCTGCCAGAGATAAGACAGTACTGGCTTGAATTATAGCCACTTGCTCTTCATTTCTCAAATTCTAAAAATTCAAGAGGCAGAAAATCAAACTGAGAAAGCAGCAATAGTTTTCCATGTAGACATATATATGGTCAATGTCAGAAAGTGTTCCTGTGTTGCATCTTTTCTTGATGTAGGGATTTTGATACATTGCAAAACTCCTAGTCTTTCACATTTATTTAGACAGGAATTCCCAACCAACAACCTATGATCAACCCCCAAATTTCATTTTTGATTCTCTGAAAAATCATTGAGATTTTCTGCTGCTTTTGGCATAGAGTTAAACCACAGAATAGGTCCATTAAGTTTTGAACATATATAACACTCCTGAAAATTAATTCTAAAAAATAAAAAGCATAAAGAGAGGAAATTCAAGTCAAAAGTCTCACTATTGTTTTAAAGTTATTCCTGCAGCCCTTGTAACCCAAAGCTGCTGATGTTTACTGTGAACATATAAATACCTATCAAGTGGAGGTGCTGTTTAAATAGAATAGCTTTTTGTATATCAAGAGCTGGGAAAATGTTTTCTATCCAAATAAATGGAAAAGTTGTGGGTGTAGTGTTTCCAAATATATTTTACCATGAAGTCAAGAATGTTTAAAATGATAACCAACCATAAAAGTTAGAGCTTCAGAAAAAAAGTAATCTAAAAGTAAAATCCCAAATAATTTGACTTCCTAAATAAATTCTTATCTGTATAAACTGTTAATATACGTGATCTTCTAGAAAAAAATTAGAACAACATTCATAGGCCTAGTCTTTCTCAACTTGATGTCTTCTAGATACATGTGTAAATAGCATAATGACAAGTTGATTCTAGTCTATTCTAGTCTGAGAGTCTTCAGGCTTTTTTATTTTAAAAATTTCACAAATACCATGGAATACTACCTTAGTAGCCCATTAAGAAATAATTCAAACACAGCAAGAACTTTATTTATAAAAATAAGGAATAATGGAGAGGGGGAGGGGAGGAATAATGAAATTCATTTCTTTTGATTGATCTTTTATTCTATACTACACATTTTCTAGAAGGTGCTATGCACAATAAGAACTTGTTAGCTATCCATATCACTTACCCCATTGTCACCCAAGATGTCTAATTGCTTTATAAGGTCTGGAATGCTAACATCCTATAAAAGAGATGACGAAATTCAGAAAAGAAGGACCAAAGGTTTTCATAAGCAGTATCTATTTTATGATACAGACTTGATGATCTAGAAATGACTTAGTATTTCCTAAGTAAAGGAGCAGAAAAAGTCCTAAAGCATTGTGGAAAGGGATGGAGAAGACTTTAATGTAAAGCCATCTACACAGGGTACTAGCAAAAGAAAAGAAATGAAGAGGTAATTATTTCTGTGAGAGGCCTAGTGTATAGAAAATCTAATATTGAGGAGGAAGAAAAATAGCTAGACTGGTTCTAAAAACATTTCTTTGCAACTTTAAGACTTGTACAAAAACATCTAACTTATTTATATCACCCAACATTTAGACTACACTATATATTTGTTGGTAAACAAATTTTCCATTTCTGAATTGTATCAAATGTTTTCCTGAAATTGAGAGTAGACAATGCTAGCCTAACTTAGAATATTAATCAGAATTCTAGCATGGCTCTGTATTCCCTATTGTCACTTTTACTTCAAGGAACATTACATACTTCCATTTTCTATGCAAGGCACCAACACTACAATTTTTTTTTATAGATTCTTTTAGAAGGCCTTTGAATTTAACAATGCACAGAGTACAATATGAATCAAAAATGTACAGTAAAACTGCCAGCAACAAATTTAGAGTGTACAAAATTATAAGCTCTATATACTTTGTTAACAAAAACATAACCTGCTCTTCAGTGTACAATAGAAGAAGGATCACAACATGCCCATTTTCTATACTTTTAAGAGTCTTCTATGCATAGAACTTAAGTTTTAACTTGAATTGCAAATTGTAGATTACATCTACAAATCTACAGTTTTCTATAAATATATTACCTTGAATGTTTATAGGCAAAGGACATAATTGATCCGCTATTCCCTCTCCTTCCATGTTTTGAAAACTACCAAGATATATGAAATCACATATTAAAAAAAACCATAATTATTTTAGTGATCTCATGTTAACATACCTTGACACCTTCTTTCATACAGTAGATTTGCAGAGCGCTTACACCATCCGAGAATGGATGGATTTGTAGATTAAAAGGTGGAGATCTTCTTTCTCTTTCCTTAAAACAAAAGATAAGGTAAAACATTTAATACTTTCTGTTTGTTTAAGGTTTTTTCCCCCCCCCTGGAAAGTATTTTGCTTTTGGAGCAAAACCTAGTTGATTTAGAAAGAGTATTCTTTTCGTTAAAATTTCTGTGATACGTAGGGCAGAAATGGGACAAGTTGCACTTTTTGGTTACACTTACTTCTGAAGAGAATGTTGTTTTGAGATTGGCCATCCCTATTCTCACTCTTGCAGTTTTCAGAACCTTGGAAGGGAGCTTGACCTGGTTGTTTAGATGGTTTTTTTTTTTCCCAGAACAAAACATCCTGTATCTCTATTTTTCTGAGGTTTTACTCTGAGCTCAGGATAAACTAGGGGACTTCATTCCATATTCCTTTAAGTATTGGCATATCCCTGGTTGGGTTGTCTTTTTAAAAATTCAGAATAGGAGATATATTTGCTAATAGTGACCAATCTTTTTCAATTCCCATTGTTCAATAGCAGAACATTTGAAATATTTTTGTTCCAAGGTGGAGCAGTTTATTTCTCACCATGGAAATTTTCCCCATGTTCTGCACATTTCTCTATAGAACTGTTTTGTGAATGAACTTGCATAATTTATTAAATCTATATGTATCCCATCCCCATTCCCTGACTCCAAAAACTTAAGGTAGCCTAATAGCATTCCTTTTATCTCTAAATAATCATCCAAATTATTTTGGATTAAAAAACTGTGATTGACTTAAAATCACCCATTGTTTCCCCATGGCTGGAGGTGAATTGAAGTTGAGTGTTCCTAGTCTAATCCTATATCTTAAGCACTATACAACATGGTTGAAATGTGTTGGAATATTAGTAGCTCGGGTTGGTAGTTAGGCTGTTGGTTTGAGCTCCGAATATATATTATACTTAACTATGGCCCAGCATCAACAGCCAGCCAATCAAACAGTCTGAAATCAGACCATGATTCAGAAATATGCGAACAAACAACATTCAGACTACTTTGAATCTCACAAAAAGGTATTTAAAGACCTGTGTTCTGACAGATGAGCACAACTCAAACACTGATGATGTCTCTTCGAATGGTGATGAGATGTTTGCAACCAAATTGCCAAGCTCAGAGTTCAAACTAACAGCTTAACTATACAAAAGGGCTTACCACATTAGGTTTCACTGCATGGGTTTTGAGACCCAAGTGCCTATGACACACTCTAAATTCCACTGGCCAAAAAGATAAAGATTATGTAAGCAAGTTTCAGTTTTCTTATCCTTTAGTATAATTGAAGCTCTTTTTGTTTTTTGTTTTTAAATAAGGAATTAACTTAATTTATAAATATAAAATGCATACCTACCCTCAAACATAGAGGGCAGGTATCTGTTATATAAAAGAAAATATTTGGAATAACACATGATTGCAATAATATTTTTTCCTTTAAAATGTTCCCCATCCCGCAGAGTAAAATTAACAAGTTCTTACTTCAAGTTCTAGATTTCGAAATTCCAAGAGTTCATTCTGATCTCTGGCATCCTGCAGCTCCTGTTGCAGTCGATTGTTCTCTACTTCCAATTTTTCTATCTAGAAAAAGATCTAAATATATAATTTGTGGAAATGATTCCAAGACATACTTGTTTAGACATTTATGACCACTGCTGTTTTTGCTCCCTCCTACAAGTCTCAATTACCGAGGGAGCAAATTATTCAGTTATTTTAAGGTTATTATCGGCTTTTTTGTGGGAAGCATAACATCTACAGAATAATAATTCATATACTAAAGGAATAATTATCTTTAAAAATGGAAAGAATACATCAAAAACAACTTGGCAAATAACAAAAGAATTCATATGCTGATTCAGAACTTTGGGGAAATTCATTGTTTACTTGTGGTTAAGACAGTAAACTTTCAAAGGATAATTTTGAATATTATTTTTGATGATTCTGCACCTTCATTTTTAAATTTTACATGATTATTATACCTATATTTATATTATAAAGCTTAGCATTTGAGAAAAATGAGCAGTCTGAACGACTGTGCAAAAAAAAAAAATACTACCACAAGATACTTTCAATCATATGGTCAGATGGTGCAATAAAAATCTGAATCATTATTTAGAACTTTAATTATTTCTTCAACTCTTGAATTTTTAAATTAATGGACTGTTCCCTAAACAGACCTTATAAAATAAATGCTAGAAATTAGCAATGACTAGCAGGTTTCAATAGATTAATCTAAAAATGACTAAATCTAATCCAGTGTATATGTGTGTATCATTTAGTGAAATTACAAAGGAACTAGTGGAGACTTATTATGGAGTCAGATTGTTGAACTGATTCTGGGACAAAGTAATGTACAGAAATTAAGTAATATTCAGAAATTTCAGTTCTAAACACGACTCTGAGTCCACAGTATCATATCTGTCAGTACAAAGTGCCTACCATCATACTACGCAATGCCTAACAGAATTCTTGCCCGCTTCCCAAATCATTTCAGTTCAAAGAAAAAGGAAGTTGGCATGTGGCAAACCAAAGCACTTGCTTTAAGCACAATAATTTCAACTTGTCTCTGGGCCCCAGCCTTAGAAATGTTATTCAAAATGAAACTGTATGTGAATGTAGCCCAGTGCTTTGTTTGGAAGAGGGCCACCTTCCACAGAGAAGACAAAGTAAGCTAAAGAGCAGAAACCAATCTGGGAAATGTAGAAGGCACACATCACTTTGTAATCACCTTATAAGAACCCTGGTGGCAGAATGATTAGAATGCAGTATTAAAACTGCCCACAGTCTGGAGTTTGATCCTAACCAGCTCAGCCTTCCAGTCTTCTGAGGTTGATAAAATGGGGACCCAGATTGTTGGAGGCAATATGCTGTAAATCACTTAGAGAGGGCTGTAAAGCACTGTGAAGCAGTATATAAGTCTAAGTGCTATTGCTATTGCTATTTTGTGAGGATACCCATAATGTTTTCTCAGAATTCCAAATGAGCCCACCAACACAAAAAGACTAGCAACCCCTTTTCTAATCATTCAAGTGTGAACATACCTTATCCAAAAGCTCTTGATTCCTCTTAATAAAAAGTTGTTTATCTTCTACCCAGTGTGAGTCCTATTTATTTTTTTAAAAAAGAATAAGATATAAAGAAATGTGGCTTTGTTAATCTGTTTTATTGAATCAAATGAATTTAAATTACCCATGAATAAAATTAAATCCACTAAATGACTGAAGTATGGCACGATCCATTGAATCATGTTGACAACTATGATTACAACTTCTGTCACAATGAAAAAAATTGCTAAAGCAATTCAATAATTCTGCTAAATTAATGGAAACAATTGTTATTGGGTATTATCGGAAGCATCAAAATAGCTGAAATTCCCACAAAGACATCTACAGTATACAGTTATGCTCACACAGCAATATACTTTTATATAATTATTTCTAATTGTTTACAGGCATCCTTTCAGATACTCAATTCATACATGCAAAATGAATCTTTCCTAGATAACAAACTAATTCTAATAACTTTAACAGTAATTGAGGAAAAAATATTTTGTAAAGTGTCTACCTGTCCTTTTTGGGCCAATGTTTTTTCAAGATCTTCTATTTTTGCTCTATATCTCTGGACTTCAGCTTGGAGTTGCTCCTGTGCCTGTTAAAAAGGAAAAAATGTACTTTCATTAATCATGTTTTTAGATCTCATTAAACTTCCCGAGTTTCAAATTATCTTTAATTTATTCTCAGCTCCTTCTTTTCCTCTGGCAAGCAGCCATATTGCTACTTTGTGCTAATGAAATGGTCCTTTTGTAACTCTCACAATACTTTGAGTTTTGAGACCCTGTTCCATTCTACTCTGTGTTTTTTAAGTAGCATCTTTTTCTGTGACAAAGTTCTTAGCATGTTTGACTATTACTTTAAAATGATTGGTCTGTGTTATTGTTATTCAATTGCATGGCAATTTTTGTAGTTTTGCTTTAGGTTGTTTGAATGAATTAGAAATAGGAGAGAGGTGGATAGATACACATATATGTTTACGGACTGTATTTGGGTGACAGCTGTGTTGACCTTGGCAGATACCAACCTTGGCTTCTCTTTCTGCGTCTATTATACCTCCAGTTTGCTCTTGCAATAATGCATAGGCTCTCTGGAGGGCCTGATATTCTTTTGTTAATTGTCTAAATCGCAACTCTGATTCTTCAGCTGCTAAGCTCTGAAAAAGAGAAAGTTTCAGATAAACATTAAGTGTAGTATTGAAAAAATATGGAATGTGTAAGAATAGATTGTAGCATAATAAGATTGGAATTTATTACGTTAGGAAAAACAAAATATTGTGCTCTGGAATACACAGGTTAAGAAAACATTTATAGAGAGCTTCCAGTGAGGTGTGATGACCCGGGGCATGGCACAAAAGCAACAAGGGCACAAAAATAGGTAAAATCCCTCCAACTTGGCCCCCAATGTCCAGTTATCCTCGGCTGGAAAAAAAAACTATCCCAAAAACAGTTTTTAAAGGGAAGAAATTCCATCCGAACCCAAAATACATATAAATTATAAATAAAAACCAACCGAAACCATGCTGCAGCAAGTAATGAGACAGGGCAGGATAAGGAATTGAAGACTTCAAAAGATAACAAAACACACACAGTTGGGAGGATACCAGAACTCAGATAAAACTTGACAAACCAAAATAATTCATGCTTTGTTTCCAGGAAGGAGCTGTGCGCAAACACCCTCTTTCCCAGTTGCAGCTAATGAAGGAAATCAGGGCTTTTTTCTGCCCCATAACCCACGTTGCTCCCCTATCTGTTCCTCCCTGCATGCCCTAGGGCAGTGGTCCCCAACTTTTTTTGTATCAGGGACTAGTTTCACGCAGAAACACTTTTTCAAGGACCGGTTAGGGTTATTTATTTATTTATCTAGATTTATTTATTTATTTATTTTTATTTTTTATTTTATTTACTATTACACTATCAACTCACCAAAATTAACCAATGTTGGAGGATTACTAAAAATGTGTATAAATGCAAGACTAGACTCCAATAAAGTCATCATGATTCAGTTGATCATGATCAAACAAAAATATATGTTTGGCAACATATATGTTTTCTCCAAAAGCGTTTTGTAAGGTAGTAATCTGCAATTCATATTTTACATTCAGGATGGGTTTGATCTCCCATATGGTTTTCAGCTTTCCACAATCTCAACAATCGTAAGGTGTGTGGGGAATTCAGAGAGTCCAAGTCCACACATTTTAAAGATTTGGGATTGCACTAAACATATGTAAGTGCAAAGAAACCCTTTGCCTATCCGGTGTTTTCAACTCCAGCAATTTTAAGATTATGTGGACTTCAACTCCCAAAATTACCCAGACAGCATTCCGGACTTCTTAAAATTGAGAAACACTGCTCTTCACTTTAAAAATGTTAAACAGATAGCTACACTTTCCCACTCATCCCCACAAATTCCCCTTCTTCCAAAATATCTACAGCCCAAATATTTTGTCTTCACCCATTCTAGTGGGATCTGGATGCCACAAAATGGATGCTGGTAGACCACCATTCTTCTTGGTTCATTTGATCATGATATGGAGACAATATTCCACTCATTGAAAAGCTAGTTATGACTTAATTTAATTATAATCAAAGTTGGATTGGATTTAATGATCATGATTAATACAGGCATGATATTCCCCTCTGAAAAAAAAATTGGGACCAGCCAAAAGAGACCCCGCGCTGCGCGCCAAGAAATCACACACACACACAACACCAACGCTAGACACCCTTCCTTTCCAGCTGGTCAGGTGTGGATCAGCTCCGGAGCTGGGCAGCCGCTTCCCTGGAGGCAGGGCCGAGGCCGCCGCCCGGGGAGCGCCCGGTGCTTTCCCTCGCCAGGGCCGGGCGGTCGCGTGTTGCCCTGCGCCGCATGACCCCTGCCTGGCAGCGCGCTTCTCGGCACGAGGCAGCCGGGTTGTCCAAGGAGCCCGGCCGGCCAGGCGAGGGGAAGGCAGCGAGGGCCCTGCTGGGCTGGGGTGGAAAACCTGCTTGGCAAGGGGCCGGGGAAGCCTGTGGGCGGAGGACCAAGTGCGCTGGGAGGCAGAGATTTGGCCGAGGCCGTCAGACGGAGAGATGGCTGGTCTGTGGCTGCCCAGCTCCCTTTTCCTGCTGCTCACCTGAGTAGCTGTAGCCGTGTGCCGATGAGATGTGTCAGAACAAGATGGCGCCGAAGCAATGTAGGCGGCCCAGTCCCAAATGATCCACGGACTGGTACCAATCCACGGGCCGGTGGTTGGGGACCCCTGCCCTAGGGTGAAGGGGGTGGATCTGGGTCTTCCTCTGAATGCCCAGCTGGATTGTGCCCTTCCCCACTTTCCTCCACAGCCACCGGAGCCACACTCCCACTCCCTGTCAGCTGTTCCACCTCTCCCACAGAATCAGATTCCAACAGGGGCATGACATGAGGAGCCATGGTGAACTAGATGTCTCTGAAGGAGCAGGGAAGACACTGAAGAAGAGATCAGCAGCCAGACATGAATTCTGGCTGATGCAATTTCACCCATAAACGAGACATCATGAGTTCTCCCATTTGAACACAGAATACCTACTCCTCATAAGTAGACCGCAGGGATTAAGATTTTTGTGATCAGTTTATGAATTGCAAGGCTGGGAGTTGTGGAATTTCAGTTAAGCTTACAGCCACAATGCAGCCTATATGAAGATAAGGTTTTCACTAGTCTAATTTCTTAAACACTTTCAGATGTAACTAATTTACAGCTAAAGAGAGATTTTCTGAGTGACAGGATAAAAAATAATCCTGAGTGAGTCATTCCTTCTGGAATGGTTTTAAAAAAGGTTTTAAAGACTTAAACACTAGTTGCAAAAAGCTTAAGAGGGAAAAACACAAATTTATACATAAAGGATAATTATTTTGAAAGATTGTTTTTGGTAAAGTGCTTTTGAATTAATTGGAATTAAATTGACAAACAAAGCAAACCCTTTGTGGAACGTTTTTTGGGTACTATTAAATAGTGCTGACAGTTGGTGGACTTAATAAAACAAAGGAAATGTAATATGAGCCAAAATAGGATGCTTATTTTAATTATGGAGTTTCACTTGAGCTGAAAGTAATAAAGGCACAGAAACACAAAATAGAAAGAAACAAAAAACAAAGAGCCTTTTCTCTTTTATTATAATTTGTAATGGTAACCACTAGAAAAGTGGCAAAAATAGCGGGGAGACTTTGTTAGAGCAAAGTGCAGAGAGAGGGATTACACCAGGTTTGCTTCAGAAAATGTTTGAGCAACTGGCCAGTAAGTTAGCTGAATCACCTGATGCTAAACTGACAACTTTTTAAAAAAGAATGGGTGAAAGATTTGTAAAGTAGAAGAGGAGATGAAAGAAGAAGTTGAGAAGACAGAAAGCTCTGTAAAACAAATGCCTGGACTTGTAAAATAAATAAATGTAAAGTGGAGATTTTGAAGAATAAGATTCTATTATAATACTGTTGTAAAGTGAACTTGATAATCTGTTTCTATTGGAATTTAGAGAGTGAAGAAATTTTGTTTTAATCCAGAATAATTCTGGTGAATTTATTAGAGAAAAGGTTAAAACTTTGGCAATGTTTTTGGCTGGGTTTGAGGAGTATACAGAGATTAGACATTGAAAAAGTATATAGAATAAATACAAAATTTGAAAGAATAAGAAATTTTCCAAGGTATGTTTTGATACACTTTGTTAGGAAAAAGACCAAGTTTCACAACATATGCAGCTGTTTTTAAAGAAATTCTTATTAGAATTTTGCTTACGAGAAAAGGTATTTTTGACCGAGAAATTAAAGCAATGATGGAACAAATATCCATTTGTCATTTTGATGGGACAAAGGAAGATGTGATTTTTTTAAAAACAGCAGAAATTGAGGGAATTTTTAGGAAAAAATTAAAGAGGAATTGGAGGAGGTTCAAACAGAGGTTTCGAAGGACACTATATAAAAAATAGGTCAACAAGAAATTGAAAGGGATGATACACATTTGCTAATTATTCAAACTTTATAAAAATAGGGAAAAAAGTCTTACTTCATCTAGATCTTCATCTGGTGTTGCTGGTGTTCTGTCTGTCCTGAATGAAGCCATGGATGATGTTTCAGAGTCCATGGAGTCATCATCACCCCCATAAACTGTGTCCAGAACATGCCTCTATAAAAAAAAAGCCAAGCATTCTAACTCTGCCACCAGCCTAGCTTTCTAGCACAGCTAATACTCCATCATATGTACTTGGTTAGGTATTTGTTGGAGATGCTTCATCTGGGTGACAACAAAAAGGCAGCAAAGAAATTTTTTTCTGCCATGTAGGAATTATCTAGTTTTTTGAAACTCTGTCTTGTTATGAAAACCTAGAATTTGAAGGCAGTAAACTAGCCAAATGGCTCTGCTGATGACTGCAGAAAAGAAACAGATCTACCCAGTAGTGGGATTCAAATAATTTAACAACCAGTCTGTGATGGCCAATCTGACCCTAGGTGAACCAGCTGTTAAATTATCATCCCCGCTATCCAAGTCAATCCTGGGTGCTGTGCTGCAATGGAGAAACAGGAAACAGAGTGGCTGGCATGAGGGAAGGAGGAGGAGAAGGGAGGAGAAAGAAGAAAAATGCCCTTCTTCCTTCCCTTGCTCAGGCCGCACCGTTGCCTGTTTCTCCATTGCAGCACAGTGCCCAGGAGCCACTTTGATAGTGGGGTGGGATGGGGTGGGGTGGTAATTTAACAAACAGTTCGTGTGAACCGATGTGAACTGGCTGAATCCCACAACTGGATCTATCACCCCTGGACAGTTTGCCTTTCTAACTCCTCATTTCCAATTGTGACATTCACAATCCAGAAACAACTCCAAAGGCTCTGACTAAAAGTCCTTTACAGAGTACAACAGGATAGACTTTGCTCTGGGCAGGTTGAAGTCTAACAATTGACCTAGGAAACTGAAGGAAACTGAGATACAAATAAACATGGAAGCATTTTTTCCAAGGCCATTTGCTTCCTCATTAAGCTTGCTTGTTTGGTTATGCAACATCATTTATAGGTCTCACAAGCAATGCTGGAAAATAACTGCTATTTTTTTGGAGCCTACTATTACAATTCAATGATTTAAAAATAGCTTTAGTATTCAGACTGACTAAGTTAATTAGCAACATCAAAGAAGAAAATGAGTCATACACCAAACTGACAGAATTGGTTAGTCAGCAGGTTGGATAGCAAAGTACTGATGAGTTCAGCACTTAAAACTTGCCAAAGTGAGTAATGAAGAAGTCTGATCAATGAGAATTTAAATCACACATATACTACTGTGTTTTTGTTCCCACATAAAAAATAAGACATCACAGAAGTGGAAAACATATCGTATGAGTATGGTCTAGACTAGAGTCAGTTTTGCAGCTTGCAGAACCACAGATGTTAGCAAGAAATTGGCATATGATCGAATTTTTGTTTAGTTTTCCTGCCTCCATCACTAGTAAGCACAGCTGGATTTACTGCTACTTGAGAAAATGTTTTCTTTCTTTGATATATGGTTTCTATGAGGCCTAATACCTTTCCTTCTGAATTTATTGAGAAATGGGCATGGAATAGAGTAATTTCATGAATTGGAAATGAAATATAATTTAATATATTAGTGGGATTCAAAATAATCTGTAAATTTACCTTAATTGGCTTTGAACTTCTTTTATGCTTCCTCCGTCTAATAAGTTTCTCTCTATCCTAGATAAGAAAACCAAGAAACAGTTACCACTCAGGATACAAAGATAACAAAACAAAGGAGTTGAAAGGAACCATGGAAGTCTTCTAGTCCACTCTCCTACTCAGGCAGGAAACCTTACATCATTTCATTCCTTGTCCAATCGTTGTTCGATCTCTTCTTAAAAACATCCAGTGTTGGAGCATCCACAACTTCTGGAGGCAAGTTGTTCCAATGATTAATTGTTCTAACTGTTAGGCAATTTCTCCTTAGTTCAAGGTTGGTTCTTTCCTTGATTTCCATCCATTGCTTCTTGTCCTGCCTTCAGGTGCTTTGGGGAATAGATTGGCCCTCTCTTCTTTGTGGCAGCCCCTTAGCTTTGGAACACTATCATATCACCCCTAGTCCTTCTTTTGATTAAATAGACGTATCCAGTTCCTGCAACCTTTCTTCATATGTTTTATCCTCCAGTCCCCTCATCTTTGTTGCTCTTTGTTACACTTTTTCTAGAGTGTCAACATCTTTTTTATATTGTGGTGACCAAAACTAGATGCACTATTCCAAAACCCCCTCCGTTTTCTCTGAGCCATTCTTCATTTCAGTTGATAAAAATGAATGCCATTATTAATGCTGGAAGGAGGAACTTTTGCCAACCTAGTGCAAATCTACTGAGAGATATATTTGTAGATTTTCAGACAGTGTCTACCTACTTTCAATTTCTGTTCACCCCTTTGGTTTATGAATGATATCATTTGGTGAATGGGGATGAATGAAAGACTATGGAAAAAGGAGAGGCAGACAAGACAAAGACAATTTTAAAGGTAAGGATTACAATAGTATCCATTTGAAAATGGATGGGTAACCAGAAAAGAATTTTACAAAGGAACCTCCTTTCCTTATTTCAAGAATACAGAACATGAAATAATGGGTTTAAATTACAAAAGGATATTTGGTTAAAGTTTTTGTTTTTAAACGATATTGCTAGTAAAAGCAGTTTGACATGAAACCAATTATTTAGAATTGGAGGTCTGCTTCATTCATTCAATAGGTTTATGTGGAAGCTAGATAGAGATCCATAAATATGCTTTAATCTAAATCCCTGTAGTAGGTATAGAGTGATCTATATAATTACCTTGTAACTGTAGGAAACTCTGAGTGCATTTCTGAATAAAGTACTGTGTTATTTGCCACCTTCCATATTATTTCCTGAGAATGCCTTGAAGCAAATGTGGGAATCTTTATTTCGTCCATTGTTGTAAATAGAGGTGATGCTAATTTCTTGACTTTGCTTTGCAGCTTACCAGGTTTCAACTTATTTTATTAATCTAATTTCACAAGCTCAGACATGTCTATTCTGGACTGTATTTCACATTAGTTGGACTTTGTAGAATTCAAAACATCTATAGAGCATCTAGTATAGAAAATGCTATATTAAAATACATTATTCCTAATGCAATTTCTTTTAAATTATATAATCTTAAAAGATCTGTTTCTAGGTTCTTAATTTATGAAGACTTAATAAACTTACTCTTGTCAGCTCATCAATGATGTTTTGTTGTTCTATAACCTGGAGCTTCAAAAATTCGGTTTCTTGTTCTTCATTTGCTTGATCAAGATCATTGAGCGATTTTAATTTCTTCAGAGGAGGGTGTGATACCATTTTTTCTTTCTGCACAACAACAACAAAATAAAACAGGAAAGCCAGTTTTCTTTTTAGATTATTTAAAATTTTCATCATACTGTATTATTTCTCACATTTTATTTTTCACCTATCTTAATTATCTGAATTATAGATGTTAGAGCTGTTTTTCTCCCATGGCATGTTTTTAAATTACTGTTGTGTTGAGAAAAGGAAAGATACACGTCTCTTTATGGAAAAATACTCAATAGAGCATTCAACTATGGATGTTGTGTATATTTATAAACAAAGAGACAAAACTGAACTCACTGGGACTTCTAAATACAAATGCTTAGGATATAGAGGCCTGCCTGGCTCTCTAGAAAAATTATCCAGGCCATTGTTTATTGCATCCTACATATAAACTGTAGCAAATGGCTTTCAAAACATGAAAAAACAGGAATGGAGAAAAACAACAAATTGTGAGCTTTTGTAATGTTAACCCTAGAGAATTAAGGGAAGAATGAAAATGAATCCAAGAGCAATTATTTTTTGGGAAACAGAAGTTCAGTTTTGAATTGAGCATCACTGCAGTTCCTTCTAACTCATGTCCGTCTTGCTAAACTGAAAGGGGGCACCGACAACCCCAGAATTAAAAATTATTTTTTGTGTTTTCTAGAACCCCAATCTGAATCTCCAAACTTTGATTCAAGTTGTTGCCATCATTTTATGCCAATTTGGGGAAATAGGCTCCAGTTTAAAATAAAGAAAAAAAGTATTGAAAAGGAAAACACATACACCAATCCAATGAAAAATTACTTCACCCCATATTGGTTGGGCATGATTTTTTCTTTATTGCAATTTTTATGAACACAAAAAAGTCAGGATAACATTGAATGGATGTTAGTCCTTTCAGTTTTCATACCTTGTTATGACACCAAAAATGTCTATTATCAAAATAGGATTATGGCATTTCCTTTAATAGTTATATGCCATGAACAGGGGAAAAACTAATGAATAAAAAACAGAATAAATTTGAATTCTTGGTACAAACCATCTCTACATTTTCCTTAGTGATTGCTTTAAGTTTTTCCTCCATGCGCTGCAATGACTGCATGAGTTCATCATTTCTTTTAGAGAGGCACTTATTTCTTTCCAGAAGAGGTTTGCATTGTTTTTCAGCTTCTCGAACACGTTTCAACTGCAAACAAAATGCTAATTAATTAACTAGCTAGATAGACTACACATCTACAGTACATACATCCACTAACACATATACAGGTAGTCCTCAACTTACAGCCACAACTGAGCACAATGTTGCTAAGTGAGAGATTTGTTAAGTGAGTTTTACCCTGTTTTACAACTTTTCTTTCCACATTTGTTAAGGGAATCACTGCAGTTGTTAAATTAGTAACACGGTTGTTAAGTGAATCTGGTTTCCCCATTGACTTTGCTTGTCGGAAGGTTGCAAAAGGCGATCACATGACCCTGGGATACTGCAATCGTCATAAATGTGAGTCAGCTGTCAAGCATTTGAATGTAAATCACATGACCATGGGGATGAGGAAACAGTCACAAATGTGAATAATGGTCATAAGTCACTTTTTTTCAGTGCCGTTATAACTTTGAACGATCACTAAATGAATTGTTGTAAGTCAAGGATTACCTGAACACTCTGATTGACAAATATATATATATATATATATATATTTTCTGGAATGGAAATGTTTAAAACATTGATCTTCAATAAGCTAACATGTTGATTCATATATCACACTAACTTCAAAACAAATTACATTATGGCTTAGAATATTGTATGAATCAGATCTATAGGAAACAGTTTGAGGGATGGAATTTCAAGCTTTGATTTTTTTTAAGATGTCATCTGCAAATCTTAAAATAATAATAATGTCACTTGACTCTACAAAACATGTTTAATCAGAGTTAAAAATATTGATGAGTTCATTATGGAAAGAGATTCCACTTCTAACTTTCTTACACTTATTTTTTGAAATGTTATTCAAGTATCTATAGCCAAAAAATAAATTTAACGTAAGAATCCAACCTAACTACTATTCATAACATTGAATGAGAGGCCATGTCATGACTTATTTCTGATTATGCTTCTAAGAAGAGAAAGAATGGTTGCTATTCAATTGCTGTGGTTGTGTTTTGGTACTAAAATATGTATAATATACAGTGCTGGAAAATTTATCATGTGAAACCAAGAGAAGCTATCAGCCAGGGATCGATTTTACACCTTGAACTAACCCTTATTTATGAAATAAATCAGAATTGCCTGGGTTCACACAACAAGCAGTCCTACAAAGAATGAATTATGGAAGATAGTGGTCACATGATGAGCTTATTATAGTGGTCAACCCAGGTTCACGTCTACCTATAGCCATGGAATTTTACTGGGTCAATTTGGATAAATCATTCTCAGTCTAACTCTATTCAGTTAATTAATGTCAGTTTTCCTGCTCCTAACCAGAGAACTTCTATCACCTTCCACTGAAACGATTCCACAGGAGACCATGAACTTTAGTCCCACCTTAGGAACAAAGCCAGCTGGGTGACCTTGAACTTTCCTCAGCCCAAACCACTTCTGAAAAACCTTGCCAAGAAAATTGCAGGGACTTATCCGGAGAGTCAGACATGATTGAACAGAAGAAAAACAAGTATGAACAAAGCCAAAACAACTCTGCAGTATTATTTATCATTTATGATTTTGTCATTGCTATCCCAGATATTTTAGATGAAATAAAATGTTCAGAAACTGCTAAGGGGTCATACCAATTCATTACGTTCATCCACAAGTAAAGTGTTCCGGTCCTCAAGTTTCCGAATAGTTGCATTGAGTTCTGCCATTCTCTTCTGATTTCTACGTAGATCCTACAATGTTTGTCAAAGAAAAATAATTTGACACAAGTGTTATTTATAGTCAAGTGTTGAGATCCTTGGCAGAAATTATGAATCACAATGAAATTGCCGGATCCCATCTGTGCCGATCCCTGGGACTTGTATTTGCCTTCATTTGTGCAGATGGAATTGCATAGTTCACACATAGCCAATAGAAGCAAATGTTGTGAGGTTCTTGGTACTCTGTAAGTTTGGTTGTTTTCTTGCAGACATTTCATTACCACACTTGGTAACTTCATCAGTGTATTGATAATGTTACTAGTTTGATAAGAAAACAACCAAGTCCAGAGAGCACCAAGGATCCCACAGGTCAACCCTGAGGTCCAAATATTGTCTTCTATCAGTAACAAATACTGACAAGTACAAATCAGCAGTGTCTAGAGAACCATATATTGTGCATCCTCGTCAAACATATAACATTGCATTTTATGTAAACAATGTGACTGTATGTTTCTAAACCAGCAAGTGTGTTCTATGTCACAGTCTCAGTGTATAATTTGATCTTCAACAAGGGAACATCATCAGCAGGCTTTTATAAGCTTTTTTTAAATAAATAGTTGAGTTAATGAATATAGAATGTTTGGAGTGTTTTAAAGGCTCGGTATAAATGCTGATCATTTATCTCCTCCTCCTCTTTCCCTTCCCCCTCCCTCTTTCTCATTTTGAATTAAGTACACAGTTGAATCACAACTGAAATGCCACCTTCGAATTCCCACAAGAGGGAGCATTGTATAGTTTGTGAGTAGATGCCACTCATGGAAAGCAGAGCAATGATGCAATAAGTGGACCCAATCAAAATCCCAGTGTGATGAAATAGAACATGCTTCTTACAGGGCTGCTGCAGTGTTCCGAGCCATCTCCTGCTCTGCCTGGGATCTCTCTTTTGGGACTGCTCATGTTGCATTCAGCCTCTTTAACCAAAAACAGTTGTTCATCCAATGCTTCTTTCTGTAGCTGAAGCTTCTGAACGTATCCTGTCAGGGTCTCCAGCTCTTTCTCCAAAGAAAAGATAGTTCTGTCTTTTGCTTTGATCTCATCCATCTGAATGAAGATACATGAGAACAGTGATATGGTATAAGTACAATAATGAATCCATGCATCTGAATACATTTTGCAAGTAATAGTTCTTCAGGATTCATTTGTTTCAGCATTTGTTATAGCAATTTCTTCTCTAAAACTACAACAGCATAAAATAGTTCAGTGCACATTAGAATATACGTATTTAAAGTTAAACATGATTTTTAAGTTATGTATTTTGTAAGTACCATTGTTTTAATGTAATATTCCATGGCTCAAATAGTGGCACAAAAGAATACAAATAAACAGGCAAATCTGCACATCGATGCTTTTTAATGCAATTTTTAATTGTCCTTACATTAGAAAGCAGTGGCAAGTGTAAAGCCTGGAACATCTACAGGTAGCTTGGTGCAAAAATCACCCAATTCACCAAATGCATTCTATCTAAGGTTTGAGGAACAGCCTGATCAGTTTGCATTATTCTGCAAAAATTCTGGTTTGATCCTTAATCTTGAGTGAAATATAAGAAACAGAACTCTGTTCCACTATAGATAAAATCTAGTGAAAGTCTTATTTACAGGTTGTCATTCAGCCATCAAGAAAAATGAGGGCAGACATCATTTGATATCTAGATTTGATATTCTCAGCTCTATGAAACTGGTGAATTTCTCCACAGTTTGTTTTTCATTTTTGGTAAAGCCAAACTATTATTGACTGTGTGATATAAGTACACAGTGTTGGCTAGCAGAAGCCAAATTCTTCTAGTTAAGAATGCAGTCATATATTTTGGAAATCATGGTAAGAATGGGAGCTTTGTGTTGAATTTTCCATAAATTATAACACAGAAAGACAAGTTTGGAAAATACAGAAGGAATACAACTTGAAATTGCCAATCAAAGATTGCTCATTAAGCAAATAGACTAATCTTGCTCTGCTTCATTGAATGGAAGCTATTCTAATCACCAATAATAACACAGGTGTATACATCTTTTTATCTGGACCTCTCAATCTTTTCAAAAGATCCAAGAATCAAAATCTTGTATCATTTTGATTAGCTGTGTATTAGAAACAATATAACTGATTATCACAAACAGCAGAAGCATCCCATATCTTTGTCATTCCCATGGCAGATTCTGCCTCAAGCTGCCATTTTTATTTCCTCTTGTATATCCTACTCCAAATGGGAGTAACAAAAGGATTTATTCTTTAGATAATACATGCACCATAGATGCTGCTATAGGAAGGTTCATTCTGATGCATTCTGAGTTCCTTGCATTAAACTTTGTTCTAAGCAACGCCTCAGGATGATGTCCATAGAGTGACTGGCCAGGCTAAACATCTGCCTTGAAATCTCCTAGCCTTAAAGTTGTTTGTGGCCCAGTGGCAGAATGGTTTAGGGCCATCCAGGGTTACTGTTCATTGCAATGGCTTCATTTTGCCTAATGATAGGGTCAGCTTTGACAATCAGAGAAACTACATGATGATTCAAAGATCCATTGGTTTTGTCTCCAGTTGGCCAGATATTCTGTGGAGGAAAATTATTTTCATTTGATGTGAAGAAAAACAAACACCAAATCAAATAAAAAGTTGCAGAAGTTTCTACATAGAATTTTGCACTTGAAATATTAATAGCTGATTTACTAAAATGAAACAACATATTTTAATCAAGGCCTGATTTATAATATTTTTAATTTGGTAAAATGTGATTTGACCCAACAAACACGAGAGCCCAAAAAGCATACAGTTGTCAGAATGCTTCTAAGTTTTAACTTAGATGCAGTATGGTGGAACACAGGCATCTATACCTACCCAAGATGTTACCGACGTGGTGAAATATGCATTGTGATGTTAAGATCCAAGCTCCACACTTTTATACTACAATATAATTTTCTTATGATGTTGCAATGCACATTTCATCATTTGCACATCTTTCTCAATGGAAACTTATGCCTAAGAGGGCTGAATCCAGATCTATATCCCTGCTGTCAGTCACAGAAGTTGGGGCTGACTTCAGCATTTCTTCTTGATGTTTCAGTGAAGGCAATAAAGTTTGCTTAACATTTGAAAAGATCAGTCATTACAGTTCTATATGGATTATTCTGAACAAGAATGGCTTTGGTTGTAGCCAAGTCTTTCTTGTCTTGCAAGCCAAACCATAAAGTATAAATTGAAATAGAATACTAAATAAAGAAAAAAATCTTCTTTAAACTAGCAACAAATAACCAAGCAGATAATTTATTTAAATCTAACTTCCCATCTTCTAGTACTCCATGTTTTTTCAATACTTGTAGCCAGCAATTATTCCCAATTTCTGGCTTTTGAGGGCCTTTTGTTTGTTTTTACTGGAAACAATATATTTATTGTGTGATACCAGCTAATCAGGGATCACATGGTGAACATACCATCCTACAACTACAGCAGGAACTGCAAATGATAAAAATACTGTCATGCCCATAATAGTAAAATACAGTGCTCAAATCTGACAATGCATATCAAATTCAGATCAGCCATATTAAAATCCCTGATAAAAAATACCAATTTATATCTGGCACGCAGAGTTTAAATTAACACGTTTCAAATTGTTATCTACAATTGTATTATAAGAACAGAATTACCACTTTATTTCCTGATTGATATATAATATCTCAGCAGTACTTCTGGCTGATAAAGGTATTCTTTTAGATGCTTCAGTCCTATTTATTTTTCTATTTATTTGGGCTTTAAAGATCATTAAAACTTTAAAGATAAACTTTAAAGATCATTAATTATATCATGAATAGGAGTTAAGTACTAAATTAACTCCTATAGAAATGGCCCCACTATGTTGGGGAAAGATTAGGTGAAAGTTTTGATACAATTTTAAGGGTTTTCTTAATCCAAAATATGTATACAATCCAAGCAGGAGTTTAGCTGAGCTGTAAGCATTTCTGCTTTAAAGCCATGCATCCAGGGTATTTCCTGAAATTCTAATTATCCAGCTTGTTGGGCATCAGACCCCCCCCCCCCAAGTTTTAAACTTAATCGCAGTACAGTTACTGATTAGCATTGCACTTTTGCTATAGTCCAACTTAGTCCAAACAAAATGTGGAAAGGTTACACATACAGATAGAGATTCCATTACAAGTGATATAGTGATAATAGCATATATACTTAAAGACCTATTTTGCTGAAAATATTATCTCTGTATTCTTCCGTTAATTCAGATAACTTCCTGCTTAACTGCACAGTAGAATCTCACATTGTGCCCCAATTAATCAATTAAACTCGCGTGGTTAGCATAAGAGAGAGCTGGCCTATTTGTCTTAACAAATGGGACACATTTCCTTTCTTCTACCCCCAAAGCTGTCTTTCTGGGCATAATTTTGCACTCTTTTATTACAAGTACAAGCAATAATTAAAAAGGAATGACCTCCTATCTAAACTGCTGCAACATCCTCTGTGTGAGGCTGCCCTTGAAGAGCATTTGAAAGCTTCAATCGGCACAAATATGAAGCCAGTTTACTTGGTGCAGGTGATTTCACTATTTCATGAGTTCTATTGCTGTCAGGATATTTCAAGGGCATTTCAGACCTTTAAGATGTTTGAAGGCACAGGGTTAAGTGAGTTAAGAAGCCATCTATACCCATACAGCATATCTGGTCCAGCCGGATGAGCACCATCTGGGTCTCATCAGGTAAAAAATGTCAGCTGAATAAGGCCCAGAAGATGAGCCTTTTCTGCCCTAATGCCTTCCCTATGGAACATTTTTCCTCTGGCGATTAGGTTATCTCTGATACTGCTGGCCTTTTGTATGGACGTAAAGACCTCATTGTGTACTCTGGCCTGGGGTGAGTGAAGTGATTTGTCTCCTGCCCAGGTAACCTATTGTAGTTTTCTTGGCTGCTGTGTCTTTAATTGTTTGTACTATATATGTATCTGCTTTTATTTTTAATCACTATTCACTGCCCAGAATAATTTGCTGGAATGGGTGGCTATATATGTTGGTTAAACAAGCAAACAAATAAATACATTCAAAGATGGTGACATCTTAATGAAATATACATCTCTCCATTTCAACTCAGCCCTAGAAGAGATGCAACTGAAAATATTTTTCCTATCAGCTACCTGTGTTTCAATTTATTGAATTTAGCAGTTCATTTCTAGTACCTTATGAGAGGCCTCAAGGGTGAATAAATTAATCTGAAAATAAATTATTTAGGTCTCTAATGAGTAATTGTTCATCACTGTACACTAGCAAATCTTTCCACATAATTAAGTGACAACAGTGGCAAAGATCACTGTAGGAAAAATATGTCAATATTTTGTGAGAGCAAGAAGAAAACACATAATGGGAGTTCAGTAAAAATAAATTATTGCTGGATGCAGACAAACAGGCAACACTACGTAGAACTTCAAGACATCTTTTAAATAGAATTGGAAAGCCAATTTGGTCTAGTGCATGAGTGCCAAACTCGTGGCGTTATGTTGCCATCACATGACGTATCACAATGTTTTCCCCCTTCGTGGAGCTGAGGTGGGTGTGGCTTGTGCATGATGCATCTGGCCTGTGGGCTGTCAGTTTGACACCCCTGGTCTAATGGTTAAGGTTTGGTCTAGTGGTTAATATAAGGAATAAGAAAATACAGCCTATTTAGTTTTTTTTTTAATGTAGATCTCCATCCAGTATGTTTAAATTATTAGTGAATTGTTGGTTTTAACTCCAAAGATTTCCTCAACAGCAAGTCATTCAAAACTCAGGCACCAAATCTCACATACAAGTTGTGAGAGAAATAAAACATTTGGTGTTTTTTTTTTCTGAGAAACAACTGTGCAGAATTCCATGGCACTTTTTCTAAAGTATAACATAGGACTAAAATTTTAATGGCATGTGGGAAAGCATTTTGAAGACAAGAAGGTACACAATTGCTGATATATTAGTTTAAACAGCCATGATTTTGAGCAATACTCATTGAGAATTTTCTATTGTCACTAAATGCATATGGTACCAGCACAAAGCAATGATAGCATAAGCTAGGTCAATAGGATGCATGATGATAGCTATGTCTTTTTTAGTGGACACAGTATGCTTCCCCCCCTCCACCAAGCTAATATGGTCACATTTCTTTAATTTTAGAATCCTTATTCTTAGCTCAGTCTCTTATTTTTCAGTGCAATTTTTGTACCTAAGTATTGACTGTTAAAATGTCCTGTGCTGGTAACAATTGGAAAGATAAACTACTAATACGTTTTCTTTATGTTGATATTACAGGCTAATTCTGACACACACAGAAGTTTGCATTATAACATACTTATAATGCACAATAGCTTTGGAGGGCAGCTCTCTCAAATTTGGCAATCAAAATCTTTGCGCATTGTGTAATGAGAATCACAAGAAAGGTTATGCACATTGAGCCATAAATATGGCAGGATATTTAGACACGTTACTAACCAGCCTGCGAATATCCCTCTCACTCTCCCACTTGATCTTAGAGATTGCCTCCTGGTGGGACTGATGCTCACTCCGGAGATCCCCGGCTTTAATCTTATCAGCTTGGATCATGTTATTCAGGGCTTCGTCCACCTGCTTCTTGGCAGACTTCAGATCAGTAATTTCTTGCAAAAGTTTAAGGCGCTCAGAGTCAAATTGTTTCCTGGCCTCTTCACGAGCCTCAATGCTCAGGGCTGTCCGTACTTTATCACTACTCCCTTCTCGCAATGCATACAGTGCTGACTTGAGTCTCTGGATTTCACTGTCTCTGATTTTCATCGTCCGTGCCATTTCTTGCTCATGCTGTTTGATAAGGTTTTCCCGGACAGCTTGTAGCTCCTTCATCTTCTCCTCATGGAGTTTAGCTTTGAGTTCAGTGATCTGCACTGTCTGTTTGCGCTGTTCTAATTCCCGGATCCGCTTTGTTTCTTGGATTTTTTCCCTTTCAAGTTTGTTCACCTACAGAGTAAAAAGAGAGAAAAAAAAGACAAAATGGATACCAGCAGCACTATCATCCTAAGTTTATAATTACATGGGACCTCCAGTTTTATAAATGTTCACACACGCTGTAATTGATGCACAATTGCAAATAACTTTTAGTTACGAAAGAGGCTACAAATAAGTTCAGAAGTGTAACAAAGTCCTATGTGTTCAACCAAACCTTAATTGAAGAGTGCACATTATAACTAAAATGTATTAATTCATACCTTATGAAAAATACACATTTTATCTTTTTGCATCTAATTTTGGGGAACTCATACAGAACTTTAGATCTGATCTATACACCCACAATGCAATTTTCTGTTGGTGTTATTTTATATTCAAATTCAATGAATCTTAAAATGTCAGATTATATAATCCCCATAAATAATCTTTCCTTTAGTATCCATTCATTGAAAACACCTAAATATAAAAATTCAGAGAATGTAATAACATTTCTCTTTACAACACCACTGACAATGCTACCGTCCTTCTTGATTATGTGTCTGAATGGTAAAACAATTGACAACTCCAAATCTCGACCAACAAATGCTTTGTCCTACATTTATATTGGTAAAAAAATCAGTACACCAAATACAAGCTAGGCGGATAAGACCTCACTGACAACCCTCACTCTGTCAAGGACCTTGGAGTACTCATATCAAACGACCTAAGCACTAGAGCTCACTGTAACAGCATTGTCAAAAAGGCATTAAGAGTTGTAAATCTAATCTTACGAAACTTCTCCTCTGGTAATATTGAATTGCTAACTAGGGATACAAAACATTTGCTAGACCAATACTCAAATACAGCTCATCTGTCTGGAATCTGCACTGTATATCGAACATTAATACAATTGAGCATGTCCAGAAGTATTTCACGAGAAGAGTACTACACTCCTCTGCTCGCAACAGAATACTCTACACCACCAGGCTTGAAATGTTGGCTTGGACTACGCCGCCTACAGTTGGACTTAAGCGTAGCACACAAAATTATCTGCTACAATGTCTACTAGTCAATGACTACTTCAGCTTCAACCGCAACAATACAAGAGCACACAACAGATACAAACTCAATGTAAACCGCTCCAAACTTGATTGCAGAAAGTATAACTTCAGCAACAGAGTGGTCAATGCCTGGAATGCACTACCTGACTCTGTTGTTACCATCCTCAAACCCTCACACCTAAGAGGTCTGTAAGGGGCGTGCATAAGTGTACAATCATGCTTACTGTCCCTGTCCTATTGTCCCCATTTATTCATATCTATTTCCTGTATTCATACTCATGTTTATTCTTTTACCTATTATCTTGTAAGCGATTGACAAATCAAATAAATAAATAAAAAATAAAGTAAAAATATGATCAAAAGTTCATGAGATGGCAGGACTGAGAAAATAACACATTACCAAAACAATTTTTTTTTTCCTCAAAGCATTATCTGAGAAATGGTTTCAAATATAGTAAATAGGAGGCTGAGAGACAGTTGGTCTAGTGGTTAAACGCATTGGGCTATAAACCAAAAGGCAGCAAGTTCTGAATCTTATCTAAGGCACAAAGTCTGCTGGATGACTTTGGGCCATTTTTCCCCTGTCCTAGGAAGGAGAAGGCCAAGAATTTCCAAAAATGTTGCCAAGAAACCTGCAGATATTTTGATGTAGTCTCCAAGAGTCAAGACTGATTTAAAGGAACACATACACAAAAGGACTTCATTTTTTTTCCAACAAAAAAGGACCAATTCTTAGAATACAATATTATATCATAATTATTTATTTAAAATAGGTCTTTGTTTAAAAAAAAAGAAATAAGACTTTGAGATCAAAATGAGAATTAGATCTTTATTCCAGTTTATAAACATTGTCCAAAGAACTGGCTCAGGATTCTCTCTCAGGCTTGACTACAAAATTAAATATCCACAAAAGTGAAACATAGAACAAAAGATTTCAACCTACTTTATATGAACTATCTATTTTCTACTGTAGTAACAATAGATATACTCTACTGAATGTTTTTCTTGACTCTCTTGAGATTTCAGAGGAGGGATATGTACATGGGTGCTTTTTGTGTGTGAGAGAGTATGTGTGTTTCTGTTTGGTTACTGCTGAATCATCTTAAAATTAAAATCTTAAAATCTGGTAATTCTTTAGTCTTCCACAAAGATTCAGATGGTAAAGTTAAGATCTAAATTGGTGATCTTTGGGACTGTAAGAAACATCTAAAAGGTCACAGGTTCCTCACCCCCATATCACACTGAGTTAATTTATTTGAAATTATCAGTGGCATTTTTTTCTGTCAGACTTTTCATCATTTCTTCTTAACTTCCATTTCCCCTAACTATATAGTATTGCTCAATTTGTTGAACTATTCAAAAGACAAAGAAACATCTTATATAATTAAGGTCCTTTTCCCAGCCAACAATGTTTACAGAAATCTGTCAGCCTTAATGTTAAGTCAAAATGGTGTCCCAGAAATTTTCCATTATTGAACTGTGTTTGTGATTGCTGCATTGCATTTGTGGTCTACCCTCATGAGGTTGCTGAAAGCCACTTACCTTGCAAAAAGGCATTGTGTTATTTTCAAATGTACCATGAAATATTTATAGGGACAAGCATTATGATTCTTTTGAACTCCGTATGGAGGAAGCACGATCTACTGTATGTTGCTTTTGGACTGATAGAGAGGGAGTGGAAACTGTAGCCATAATTTCAGGTTGGGATTTATACACACTGCAGGAGGCTTGCCATCAGGTTTCAGGTAAATGAAAGGAAAAAAACTGTTACCTAAAGGCTAGACTAGATATGACATTTATCACATGGTTAGCTGAGGCAAAGCATTAAAAAAAAATGACAGCAAGATAACCAGAATGCCACGCTGGAACCGTGGCAAGAAGATAACTGTTTCTTCGCCTATATTATCACTTGGGAACCCTAATTTCTCTTCATCCAACTTTTATTCCCTACTGTTATGTCCTGAGAACTATAGGAGTTCTCACTCAGGTCCACTCACTTTGAGTGGGCGTTCTTCCCCCTTTCCTCATTGGTTGGTTCTCCCCAGCAGCCAGCTATAAAAGCAGGCTGCGGGGTCCAACCAGTCGCTGATCGCTGCGAGCCAGTTCCAGGCGTGGCAAGCACGGTCAGCCCTTTATTGCTTAATAAAGTATTGTTGCACTCATGCTCTGGTTCAGCCTCTCATTGCTCAAACTTAACACTGGCGACGAGGGTGGGATGGCTACCAGTAGCACCATGCAACCGCTGAGTCACTAGCCGCCGATCCGCAGCCCAGAGAGAGCGGTCAGCCAACAAAAAGAGCAAACAAAAAGAGCAAACGCTGATCCGCAGCCAGAGAGAGCGGTCAGAATCGAAAGTTAGAAGCGTCTGTAGCCGCTTGTTAGCCCAGCTACAGAGAAAGTGAAGCGCTGCGAGCCGCAGCCGCTCTGTATCAGGCGCGAAATTCAAACGGTTGTCATTTGAATTTCAAACCTAAAAGGTACAGCACAGCACTGTAGCCAGTCACTGACGCCCACTCAGGCGCGAATCCAAACGCCATCAACGGCTAACAGTCTAACGAGGTTAACCCAGAGAGAAAGAGAGGATTTAAAACAGCCTCTCCCGAGCTGAAATCACTTGCCCTCCACGGGCCCTAAAACATTGTCTGCTGCCCCAGAGAGATTTTTTCCTCAGGTTGTTCAACCGGTCCCAGCACCATGAGTTCCAATCCAGTCTTCCCGGCGTTTAAACCAGACGAGGAGAAGTGGGAATCGTATAAGAACCGCTTCAATCATTATATCAATGCAGTTGGCCTGGCGGATGCGGGGGAGCATCGGAAAAAATCGTATTTCCTAATCTACTGTCTACGATACAGCTGCAGCGCTTGTGGCTCCTCGTGAGTTGAAAAACGTTCCGTGGTCTGAGTTACTTGAAATTCTCACTAACCACTATTCCCCCAGGCCCTCACAGATCGCAAGGAGATTCACCTTCCGTATGAGGAAGCAATCGAGCAAAGAGACCATCAATCAATATATGGCCGCTCTCAGAACAGCAGCACTGCATTGTGGGTTTGGAACCTACCTGGAGGACATGCTCCTCGATCAATTAGTCTGCGGGGTCAAGGATCTCCACCTGCAAAGGCGACTTCTCACAAAGAAAGACCTCAACCTCGCACAAGCAGTCGAGGAAGCCTTGGCAGCCGAGTTGGCAACAACATCAGCCACCGAAATCCAGGGCCCTAGTGCCAAGCTGACATCACTTCCAGTCCACTCCGAGGAGGTGGTAGCAGAGGAACCCATCAGCGATGAAAACGAAGTCCACCGCCTATCAAATGACAGACGGCCGCAGGTAGGAGCCAGACAAGAAAACAGCGGTCCTCCCAAGCACATCACTCTGTGCCTAGCCTGTGGGGGATCTCATCAGAGGGCCACCTGCAAGTTTAAAGGAGCCACCTGCAATAGCTGCCATAAAAGGGGACACATCGCGAGAGTCTGCCAAGCCCCCCAAAGCGCAGCGCAAAGGCACCCTCCCTCGCACTCGGGACCACAGAGGCAAGTACTGAACTGTCGCACGCACCACCTTGCCAAGCACACGTGCCACACTGTTAGTAAAATTTCTCTCTCCGTTTCCCTAGAAGGTAAACCGTGCCGCATGGAGGTTGACACAGGGTCAGCGCTCTCAATTATCTCGTGGAACACCCTTAAGAGGCTTCAACCAAGCCTATCCACTAGACGGCTCCAGAGATGCCAGTTCGGCCTGAAGGACTACCAGGGGAAGACCATTCCTGTAATCGGCAGAGGCAAGTTCCTTGTCAGTTTTAAAGCTTTTAAAGGCCACCTACCTCTAGTGGTAGTTAACGGCAATCTACCCACCTTATTGGGGCTCGATTGGTTTCCCCATCTCGGCCTAGGGCTAACAGGAGTCCATGCTGTCTCAACCTCAGACACTGACTCCTTATTCGCTGATTACTCAGACGTATTCAGCGAAGAGCTGGG